TATATATATATATATATATATATATATATATATAATGTGTATGTATATAAATATATATATATATGCAATTTTTATATATATTATTTAGATATTAAAAGCGGTCAATGTTAGTGATAGAGCTAACATATTTATTTGGATTGGCGTGAGTGTGTGACCGTGGGTTTCACGATGTGTGTGTGTGTGTGTGTGTGTGTGTGTGTGTGTGTGTGTGTGTGTGTGTGTGTGTGTGTGTGTGTGTGTGTGTGTGAAATAATCTTTGGAGCAATGGTCTTTAAAAATGCAGTTGGTAAAAACAACGTATATTAATAATAATAATTTCAAGAAGGATATCCACCATTAAGTGAATTCGGACAAGTGCAGGTTGTGCGTCCTGGAAGTTTAAAACGTTACCCTAATTAACGCTTATGGTAATCCTGTTCAGAAAGAATACAAGAGTCACCAAGATAAAATGGTCCCTAATCAGTATTAGCGTCGAGGTATGAACGAAATGTCAACGAGAACAGGCACGGCCACAAGCTAAAGAATGTGATCGAGATTCAGAAGCCGAAAGTGGGGCGTTCATGCCATTACTGTCCCAATTGTCATTGTGACGTTGTGGTCTGTATCACCGAAATTAAAGTCCTACATTAAGCAAATAAGAATAAAGCCGATTATGCCGTCGCTTCAGAAGTCTGCGTTTTTTGGCGCTGTAAATATTAAGCGAGAGTAACCGTCTGTCTCAAATCGTACGAAGCCATGCGAAAGAATAAGATAAAAATGACTAAAAGTTCACGTTTTTCTGATGAATCTTAAATTCTTCAGTTAATGATCGAATAAGCTCCTGGTGAGTTCTATGACAATAAAATACCCGTAAAAATTCCCCTATCGCACCGTTAAATATTTGAGCTTAACAACTTTAACAAAATATTGCTATACACTCATAATTATGTATACTGTTCCTTATTTTAAGAAGTGGGTACATCTGTTTCCATTTCACTGAAACAACCGGTAAACAGTTGTCTGTTTCCTTCCTTTTTTTATTCATGTTCTCACTCAAACCAAGTAGCGTCTCTGATATGTGTCTTGTTTATCATAACGGAATAGTCCATTTCTTATGCGGTATTGGCAGGAGACATTGAAAAATGTTATCTTCCTTTCCCTTCTTTCTTTCATTTTCTCACTGAAACCAATAAATATCTTTCCCCCTCTTTCTACGGGGTCTAAATGCAGAATAACCCATTGTTTATGAAATATTGACAGGGAGCAACAGTCGTGCTAACTAATGAAGCGAGGGGCAAGCAAAATTATAATAGGTATATATATATATATATATATATATATATATATATATATAAAGCATCTCACCTCACGCAAGGTGGGAGTGCATCAGAAGATGTCGATTGACATTACATTTGAATATTTGAATATTATTGTTAACAGGGAAGCAAGTAAAAGGAAGGGAGTTCCACTGTTTTGGAAGTGCGAGAGAAGAAGCTGTTGGAGTAGAAGAGACGATTACATTTAACTGTTTCGACAGTGAAAGGGTGGAACCGAGATGCAAACATTTTAGCACGCTTAAATTCATGCAGTTGCGACACCATTGAAAATAGTTCGTCAGAGCAGTTACCATGAAAATATTTGTAGAAAAGACAATGACTTGGTACTCCAAAATTTTATTAAAGCAATAATAAATGCAAGAAGTGGGTACAAATGAAAATATTTGAAATTCCTATTTTCCCATTTCGCTGAAACAGCTGTAAAAAACTTATATCTTCTACTTATTTAACAACTTATTCAGGGCTGTATCATAGTTAGATAGTTATTTAATTAAATAGAGTAAGCATTATCCTATATAAGATTTTCCGAATTTAATAGGTGTTTTATGTCTAATTCGAATTTATATTTTGTTCTTCTTCTTCTTTTTTTTTTTTTTTTTTTGAATATCCACGGCTTAATTGATAACCATTTCATATTAAGTACTAGCAGTAGAGCCCGGCGTTGCCCGGGGATATAACAGTAAGAGATAGATCAAGTATCGACCATCATAAAGACTGAAAAATAAAATTGACAAAGATGAGTTTAAGGTTGACGGACACGCATATCTTAATTAGTTTTTTTTTTTTTTTTTAATTGGTCAAACCCAAACTCAAACAAAACATTGTTTTCAATCGTTATGAGTCTACCGATTGAATAGAATTTTGTTATAAACAATTGTCTTGTAAATGGAATTTTTAAAGCATTCTGAATGTAAAAATAAAGGAAAAAAGTGTGCAAGACAATAAGAAACACTACCTGCCAAAAAAAAAAGTGAAGTTTTATTGAAATCGGTTGAAAAATGTAGGAAATCCGATCCCATATATAAACGAACACACACAAACAAACACACACACACACACACACACACACACACACACACACACACACAAATAACCTGTGTTTTATAATAAGTATAACTCGATATGAGTTTTCCCTCTTTCATTCTCAGACAGCGATGCCTCTTAATCGTGTTTTCAAATTGATTTCGTGCAAAAACAATTGTTTTTTCCAATTTTTGGTGCTGTCAGAACCACCGCAAGGTAATTTTACGTAGTCCTGTGATGTTTTATTGAAATCGGTTGAAAAATGTAGGAAATCCGATCCAATATATAAACGAACAGATACACACACACACACACACACACACACAACCTGGGTTTTATAATAAGTATGATGAAGGTGTTTTTCTCCTTTACACGAATTTTTTTTTTTTTTTTTAAAATAAAAAAGAGTATATTTGTGAGTGCGTGCGTGTTTCTGTGTGTGAGTGGGCGCGGGTTTGTGTGTGCTTATAGATGAGTATAGCATATATTGTTTTAAAAGTATAATTAAGCTTACCTGTTGCTGATCCTTATATGCGCCAAAATTCACCTGCGGGCACATCATCTCCATTTATGGATTGGGGAAGCTGAATTTTGGATTCTCCGATTCTGATGTTGTTAAGAAAGAAAAAGAGTAGATAATTTATTCCGATGTCTTTATGTTCATATTTCGTCTTTCTTCTACTGAAATACCCGAAAATTAGTTTTCGTTTCTAAACCTAATTTATATATTATCTTGACGACGTGAAATGCGTCTTTAATTCTATTATGTTTCTGGAAATATTCGTTATTTTGGGTTGATTTTCCCCACATTATATATATATATATATTTTTTTTTTTTTCACCTTACATGCGGATTAATTAAAAATCGTCTATTGAAATTTAAAAATGAAATGAAAACGGAATAAGTCTGAGCGATTCTTTTCTGGTTAAAATCGCAATTAACGAAATGCATTGTTTGAAAACGAAAAGCCATAGAAACACGTGTCAATTAATTGTTTTCGAAACAAATGAAATTAGGATCCCAATGTCCATATTCAGTTATATTTTTATTTTAGCTTTTATTTTAAGTGCCATTATATTTTATCTTTTTCAGATTATTCAAACGGACAAGAAATGCGGTGTTTTCTTAGAATCAGAACTTTGCTTCACCAAATAAAATTCTTTTAGTTTCGTCTTGTTTTGGGGAATTTTTTTTCCAAGTAAAGACGTAGAGACACTCAAGCAGAAAAAAAAATCACATATACATACATCATATATAATGGCTCACCTGTCTACAAAATCACTGTTGTAATGTTCACAAGAAAAAATATAGGAAAAGACATATTCAAAGATTATAATATATTTAGATGAAGGATAATTTAGCGGCACAGAAATAATGATCGTCTAGTGAAGTTCGAATATCGGCTGAGTTTGTTGCGTTTACTTTTACGCAAATCATCATCGCCAGTAATTTACAATCAACTGAGGAGACGCATTGCCATGCGTCGAAACTCGATCGCAGTTGTGTAGCGATTTTTAACATGTTTTAAATGAAATATCCTAAAATAAATAAGATTTTTCTGTACTCTGTATTGAGTCCACTTTTAAATTAAATGTTACGAACGTTGTAATTTGACTCTATTCGTTCTATATATATATAAGAATTTATTTAATCCGATAGATTTATATCACTTTAAACGTTATTATTGGTGGATAATCGTATTTGAGTAAACGCTCCGTTTATATATTAAACAGTATTCCTACTCTGTTCGTTCTAATCTTAGCTCGATATATATATATATATATATATATATATATAAAGCGTTTCACCCCAAGCAAGGTGGGAAGCCACTAGCACTTAAGGGGTTACAGAGAATTGGAGAGAGAGCAAATAGGAGTGATAGAGGAAAGGATGAAGAGAAGGATAGATCAAGGCATCTGGAGACGTCGATTGACATTACATTTGAATAGTTGGAGATTATAGTTATCAGAAAATCAGGAAAGGGGAGGGAGTTCCACAGGCGAGTGGTGCGAGGCATGAAGCTATTGGAGTAGAAGAGACGGCTACATTTAACAGTTTCGACAGTGAAAGGGGTGAGAGCGAGATGCCAGCCTAGTTGAACGCTTAAATTCATGAAGTCTGGGAACCAGCGAATGCAGCTCATCGGAGCAATTACCATGAAAGTAGTTGTAAAAAAGATAGAGGGAGGCAACGGCACGTCTGTGACAGAGCGACTGCAAACGAGATGCCAGATCAGGGCCAATTTATATATAAGAATTATTTTTTTATTAATCCGATAGATTTATATTACTTTAAACCTTATTATTAGTGGATAATCAGATTTGAGTAGACTCTCCGTCTATATATTAAACAGTATATTTATTCATATTCACCTGCCGGCGTGAAATTTCGAGAAATTTTATTAAAGAGAAATCTGCGCTCTTCAGCAGGAACCTACATCCGTCAATGTCTAGAGAGACGCCGTTTAGCCCGGTACGCCTATATCGCTTTTGGCCACGAAGGAACAGACGGTCAGGTGAAACCAAATTTGATGCTTTCAATCGAAACTTCACTTATCTTTCAAAGTTTTCCATATCTTCACGTACGCAGTTTCGTATCCAAAAGTAAAGAGAATTTATTAGAATGGATTTTTATTAATCCGACAGTAGATTTCTCGAAACTTAAGATAGATATAGATAGATATAGATAGATAGATAGATAGATAGATAGATGCAGACTGAGATAGATAGATAGATAGATAGATAACAGACTAGAGATAGATAGATATAGATCATAGATTGATAGATAGATAATAGATATGAACATATTGAGATAGATAAATAGAACATACTGAGATAGATAGATAGATAGATAGATAGATAGATAGATAGATAGATATATGAAAAGATTGAGATAGATAGATAGATAGATAGATAGATAGATAGATAGATAGATAGATAGATAGATAGATAGATATGACATACCTGCCCTAGCAAAGAATATTAGATAAAAGTAGGTACTGAGAAACGAATTAGCCCCAATTTTTTCTTGGTGAAGCATTCTTGGTAAGGATGAGAACTTTTCACTTCCACCCAGTATCAACTCAAATAAGGAGCAATATGTAGTCATTTGCATAATTCTAGGTTTCCTTTATGCAGTTAATTCCGTCTGAGAAGACAACGACGCCTGGGGTCTACCACTCAAACTGAATAACTCATAAGAAAAGCAGGTACCGGAGTTAAATATTGACACGGCCAATTATAGAGAAAGTGGTCGGAACTGCTTCTGCAGAATCAAAAGACAGGTATAAATCTTTGAAAAAGAAATAAAGTATGGAAACTGATACGTGCCAAAATCTTCCTACTATGAAGGTATAAGGTAACACATTTATTGAGGCTTAATCAGTAGAGATCTGAAACAAGTTTCTGAAAAAAAGAAGTAAATAATGAATACATTCCTTTCTCTTGCAACATTCCAGCTTGCAATTAACTTTATATGCATTAATTTCCATCTACCTGATTCTTCATTCGTTCATGACAGAAAGATTTATAAAAACAGATTATTACATCACACGCACGCCCAAACAAGCACATTTATTTATTTTAAATCGGTATCACCCCATGTAAGGCGGTAAAGTCACTAAGACACAAGGGGTTACAGTGTGTGAAAGAATTAGGAACAAAAATATTAATAATGAGCAGGAAGAGGAAAGACTAAATTTGGCTGGAAAGCAGAGAGAGGTGCGAGAAAAGAAAATGTTAGAATAGAAATTAGGCTACATCTAGCCAATTCTATTATAAGTTGATGAGATCTCGACACCATTCTAGTACTGCGCTTAAATTTTTTAAAAAGTCTAGGTACCACAGCGAAGAGTTCATCCAAACAATTACCATGAAAGTTTTTTTTTTTTTAAATGACACAGGGAGGGATATATATATATATATATATATATATATATATATATATATATATATATATATATATATATATATGGTCTTGCTGTCATATATGGTCTGGTGCCCCTTCTGTTTGCCTCGGGGTTCTTGATAGGCTCCAGAGGCGGATATGCAATGTGGTTGGCCCTGCTCTGGCGTCTCGTCTACAGTCACTTTCTCACAGACGCGCCGTCGCCTCCCTCTGTCTGTTCTACAAATACTTTCATGGAAATTGCCCCGAGGAGCTGCATTCGCTGGTTCCCAGACGTCACGAGTTCCAGCGCCCTACGAGGCTGGCATCCCGCTCTCACCCCTTCACTGTCGAAACTCCTAAATGTAGCCGTCTCTTCTACTCTAATAGCTTCATGTCTCGCACCTCTTGCCTGTGGAACTCCCTTCTCTTCTCCTGTTTCCCTGTGAGCTATAATCTCCAGCTATTCAAGTGTAATGTCAATCGACATCTCCAGTTGCCTTAATCTATCCACTACCCTCATCCGTTCTTCTATCACTCCTATCTGATCTTGCTCTAAATTTTCTGTAAACCCTTGCGTCCTAGTGGCTTCCCGCCTTGCTTGGGGTGAAATGCTTAAATATATATATATATATATATATATATATATATATATATATATATGGGGGAAGTGGAAAAAACTTTTTCTTGTGACGCGTTTCGTACTTCATCGGACTAAATTTGGTGCGACTACACATGCGCACGAACGAAAGGATTTCTGGGATTTTTAAATTTAAAAATTATTATTCTTTTTTTTTATCTAGCCGATTTCATTTAGATTATTTTTCTTTTTTCTTTCCATCACTTCTTTTTTAGTAGATATCGCACACTGTGATAATAGAAGTTCTACCAGGAATGGTGAAATGTTTTAAGAGGCGGGACGCAAATCTCTAGACATTTTCGTCGTAGTGTTTTGTATTCCGTTGAAGTCTTAAAGATCAACGGACATGAAGTAGAAGAACTATATTGAATCTATTGCTAGATAATAAACTAAGAAAGTTGGTTCACTGTGTCGTGCTAGGCAATTATTCTCTCCAATATTTATCTTATGAATCTATACCATTCGTCTATGTTTAGAATACAGCTGGCGCATATGGTCCGGTGTTCCTTCTATATATTTAAAGATTCTTGATAAAAAAAACAAAGAATCAGCAATATTATTAGTCTTGACCTAACCTCTCGGCTTCAGTCATATTTCCACTGCCGTAAAGCTGCTTCCCTCTGTCTTTTGTATAAATACTTTCATCAGTTGTTCGGTTGAGCTCTTTGCTAGATTTTTCTTTGTCTCTTTAGTTGTTTTATTCCAGTTAACTTAGTTAGGGGATGTTTGCTCATTGGCCTCTTTTATTTCTCTCCCCATTTTTCTTTGGTTTAATTCCCCAACCTGTTCCTTGTTTTTAGTTAGTGATGTCAGTTCACTGGTAGATGTGGGGCACCTTTTGTTTCTAGAGTGAATTTCGTATTCGCTGTTGTGTCTAAATGAGTGTGTTTTTTTTTCAGAGAATGTTTGGGATAAATAGTTGATTTCATATTATTAAAAGTCCAGTATTAATTACATCCAGTCGGAGGTGTGCTTGTCGAACTCTCTGCCTCTGGGCAAAGAGGAACCCGGACGAGGCTATGCCAAAGGGCAGAGTCTCATCTGGGGTGGTAGACAGCTACCCGACCCCGTTTAGGGGAAATTTTTGCCCGAGCCTACGGGCTCGGATACCCCGCAATAAACTCGGCATTGTGCCACATCCGACCGCGTGGGGCGGTTAGTGAATATCATTACATCCAGTTAACTGATGTTTCTGCCATATTTAGAGATTGTAGGAGGGGAAGGGTTACTACTAACATTATTTTGTTTAGTTTCCTGTAGATAGTTTTGTTTTCATATTGTAAATACTCATTGGGGCTAGTTTTAAATTGTTGTTTTATACCCCTCCCCACACAATGAATTGCACATAAGACACTAGGACTTTCATGGAGAAAATGAGGTATTATGGTGGATGTAGTAAGAAAGTAAGAATGCGTTGTTTGGTGTCAAGAATATAGTTGTATGTTTGGGTCAGTGTTTGTGACTAGCTAAGTTTAATGTTAAGACAGAAGAAAACCGTCCTTTTTCCCCATCCACCATTTTGGCCTTGTGCCACATTTTCTGTATTTTAAACAGAAGTAGATATCGGGAAGTCCACATCATCTTTTCTGTTGTTTCAGTCCTTGTATCAGAATAAATATCGCTCTTTGCTATGGTACGTAGACTTTATGAAATTAAGTGTGGTACTAGATTGACAACAAGGTCTTATCAATTTACACTTGAACTGGTTGGATGTAGCCGTAAGTTCTATGCTAACAGTTTCTTTTCTCGTACTTTGCGACTCCACGCTTTCCACTTAACCTTGATCTTCAAAGATTTAAATGCAATGTCAATCGCTATCTTCTGTCTGTCTGATTACTCTTATTGTTCTCGCTCTTTAGTAATGTTTCTGTTTACTAAATGTTTCACACCCAGTAATCCCTTCTATCTTAATATCATTACTGTCTTGCTTGGCGTGAACTTGATCAATATATATATATATATATATATATATATATATATATATATAGAGAGAGAGAGAGAGAGAGAGAGAGAGACGAGAGAGAGAAAGAGAGAGAGAGAGGAGGGGAGAGTGACAGACAGACAGACAGAGAAAAAGAGAGAGAGTGAGACAGAACAATAAATAATAATAATGTATATATAGCTGGCCACTTGTATTCGAACATGCCCGTCTACTGGGGCGACTAGCCAATCCCTATTGCAGACGCTTGCTCAGGCACAGTTGTATTTGTTCAACACCAAAGAGTACACCTGTGTTTTATACTGGAACTATGCTGAGCAGATCTTATTACAGTTTCTGGGAAAGAGCGTGTTATCTAGCGTGATTAACAATTTGAACAAGGCCAGCACGCTCAGACCCTCGTTCACAATGACTCGTTACTTCGTGTTACAGCCCTCTACGCCGTCTACCCAATTGTGTGGTTTTTGAGGGACCTTCCAAAGGTGACGCACGCTGGGATCGACCCCACCAGTCCGATAACATCAGGAAGTTTCTTTCTTGACAGATCGCCCATGGTGAGATTCGAACCCGGGGCTCATGGTCAGAATGCGAACGTTCAAATACTCGTGCCAACAACAATAATAATAATGATAATTTTTTTTTTTTTATATAATACGCCTAATACCCCTTTCTCAATGAAAAAATAAGATTAGCAGAGTTCTATTCACTCAACAAAAATCATGCCGGGGACTTTTGCACTATCTGTCTGTTTCATTTTATCAAGACCAGTGTAACTTGCACCTCCCACAAATCTATGATACGCCCCCAAATCTACTACATCTCAATTTTCATGAGGTAATATTCATATATAATATAATTATGTCGATAATGGATCATATGCAATATAGGTGAACAGTTCTATTGTAAAAAGTTGAAAATAAGTACAATATATCTAATCATAAGTTAGAGAAATATCATAATAGATTATCCCGTCTTAAATAAATCGACAATTTTTTTGAGCAATTTTTAAAGTCAACTTGAAATTCTTCTTGGTAAAATGTTGAATATTTTAACATATTCAACATTATGGATAAAAATAGTGAATAGTGAATCTTATATTGCGTCTTTCGACACTTAGCATGAGCAAAACAAATTCCTGGAGTCGAACGAAAAAAGGCCCCAGAATGACGTCAAAATCCGCAAAAAATATTCATCCTTAAATAGTCAATTGTGCTTAATTTAATTTGCAACGTATATAAATGTAGGGAGAAGGAAAGCAAATGTTGATAAGATAGCAAGTGTAACAAGGCACTGCCTAGGGACACCAATAGCCCCCCACCACCACCACCACCACCACCAGTTGGTGTGTTCGGGTGTAGTATGCACTAGCCCTGCATTTTATTATTGGATTTTATTATTGGATTGGAACAAGATGCTCTGCATCGGGATCAATCTTGGGAATAAAATGTCTAAGGTTCATTTTCCATTGTCTGGTTTAACAAAATATTATGTTTTGCATATATACTGGGTGCGATGGGTAAATTGTCGCCATTTTACAATTTTAATTTCGCGCATGCGCATTGTTTGATTTTTATT